AATTCTTTTTGGTGTTGTTGTTAGTTACTTTGGTCCATCCTGTTTTCTGTGGCATCTCTGTTTCCAGGACATCTCTCAGTGTTTCCTGTATGGTTGGTCTTGTTTTTACGAACTCCTTTAGGTTTTGTATTTCTGGGAATATTTTATTCTCTCCTTTGTACTTGATGGACAGTTTTGCAGGATTCAGTATTCTTGGTTGAAAGTTGTGTTCGATAAATGCCATTCCACTCTCTTCTTGCTCGCATGGTTTCCGCTGAGAAATCAGCAGTTAATCTTATCTGTTCTCCCTTATAGGTCACTCTTTGTTTCTCTGTTGTTCCTTTTAGTATTCTCTCCTTGTCTTTAGTTCTAGCAAATTTGACAATGATGTGCCTTGATATTTTTCTTTTAGGTTTTGTTCTATATGGTGTTGGCTCAGCTTCTTGGATTCTGTCGTTCTTCACTGAGCGCGAAAAGTTTTCCTCTAGTAATTCTTCCACAAGTTTTTCAGTGCCTTTACTTGCTTCTTCCCGTTCTGGGATTCCTATGATGTGGATGTTATTTCTTTTAATGGTATCCCGCATTATTCTCAAGCTTTCTTTTGTTTCCTTCTTTTTGGATTCTGCTTTCTTCCCGGTCACATCTGTGGTGACAATTCTATCTTCTATTTCACTGATTCTGTTTTCCATCTCTTCTCTTCTATTCGTATGTCCCTCCATCATGGTGACAGCATCAGAAACCTTAGATTTCAAATTCAGGATCACAGTTTCTTGTTTTTCCAATGCCTCTAATGCTTCATTTGTTTTCTCTGCGTTGTTTTGGATTGTTTTTTTAAGTTCCTCCTTATCGTTTCTAGCACTATTCTGTATTTAATCCAGTTTCATTTTTATCCATTGAAAATTTTCAATCATTGTTCTTTTAAAATCACTATCAGAAAGACCCATCAGGCTTTCTGGCTCCAGAAAATCCGTTGCTACTGTGTCTTCTTTGGGGTTTGATATCTTGCTTTGGGCTGGTGGGACAAGTGAAGCACTCTGCTTTCTACTGGTCATTGGTGTGGCAGAGTTCTCTGTGTCTGAGGTGGTAGCTGGTTTTTTATTTGACATCACTGCTCCAGAAGAAGATTGGGCAGAAACAAGTGTAAATGCGTAGAGCGTGTGTGCACACTCCAACACTCACGTGAATGGGCAGGCAGGAAGCGCACAGTGATACACATGGGGAGGGCCTCAGGAGAACCTAAATATGAAGGAGGAAGTCTGTTGTTCCTTTTCTGGAATAGCTTCCCCACTCTTTGGAGATGCTCAGGATCTCCCTGTTGTTTGAGTTAGTAGGCTCTGCGTACTCAGGCCAGAAACCAGTTTGATTCCCCATGTAACTTAATCCTCAATGGTACGTGAGTATTTTAGGGGAGGTTGATAAATCTTATAGATGTGGCATATATGATTATCTTTCTGGCCCAAGGGCCAGGACCTAATTGGGTGTGGGTGTCTGGTTCACAAGCCCTGGCCTGGAGCTGCCTCTGTTGCCCTTGCAGATCTCCCAGCAAAGTCCAAGTTTACAAAGATGGCATTTCCCCACAGACCTCTTGGAACTGTAGTTGGTACCTGCAGTCGTAGCAGACAGGAAGGCTGTGGTGGTAGGTAGCAGACAGGAGTTCCTTGTTTTTCAATGCAGCATAGTATTCCATTGTGTGAATATACCACAGTTTCTCTATCCATTCGTTTGTTGATGGGAACTTAGGTTGTTTCCAACTCCTTGGTATTGTGAACCAAGCCCCGATAAACATGGGTGTGCATATATCTGTTTGGATGTCAGTTATGGTCTCTCTGGGGTATATTCCCAGCAGAAATGTTTTTAAAGGATGTGTTTGCCTATTTTCAGACTAGAAGAGAGGGGAGAATGAGGAGAGAACTGATGATGTAAGATGCTGCAGAAAGTAGATTAATACAGGGTCACGTAAAAGGCAAAGGCACTGGAAAGGAATGCAAAAGGTGACCGTTTTAAGGAGGGTGAAAGGATGAGTGAAGATACAGAAGCATTAGAAGGTGGAGTGGAATAATGGGATTTTACATCAGAATCCTTGATTGTTTCTGTGAAAAGATAGGCAGATAGCAAGAAAGAGGGGAAAGAAATTAAGGCAAATCACTGTCATGTAGCAGATGACTTGGAATTTTACAAATTGATTAAGCCCATTATTGTAATAATAGTATTGTGATGGGGAGAGAGGAAGAGCAGGAAAAGTGTGGGTAGATAATGAGCACTGCATTGAGATGTGTTAAAAGGAGGACAGTCTGAAAGGAAAGGGTGACTAGAAACCATGTGTGTGACAAGTAGTAGTCTTACAAGAGGAGTTGGAGGGTGGGGAAGGAGGAGGGAGAGACATTCATAAATGAATGAATAATAAAAAAAATAAAAATATTTAAAAACACCCAGAAAAGTTGTTAGAATTTTTCAGGTTCTAGTAGGGTATCAGTTCACTATCTTTTTAATGGAATGAAAACATCCATGTACACATAAACATACACACTTCCCTTTCTGTTTGTTAGATTGGTAGAGATTTCAAATATGAGATAATTTACTTTTATCCCTCTCTATATTTCCTAGATTGGTAAATATTTCAAATATGAGATGATTTAACTTTTGTCTGTTTCCTAGCCTAGCTCCATTTTACTTTAATTTCACCAGTGTACAGAGGAAAAAAATTGTGATGTTAGTGTTAATGAAAATAGCAAAGAATAAAACTACCAGATCTATAAAAAGCAAGCAAAATGTATTTTTTAAAAAATCTTTTCCTCTCTTTTTTCTGTATGTCTTTCCTTCCTTTAATGCTTCCCTCATCCTTTTATAATGACCATGTCAGTGGATTTGGGCTTTCATAGACAGATTATATAGCAAACTACCTTGTAACTGAAAATCTAAAAGCACCAGCCGGTTCTTTAGTTTACAGTTCTTCAGCAGAGGATGGTGTGGATCTCTGTGGTCACCTGTGAGGTGGAGGGTTCATTCTTAGGTCTTGTGATGGCAGGCTGTTGTACTCTTCCCTGTGCCTGTCATTTCCTGGTGGACTTGTTCTTGCTTCTTTACCAGTGGCTTCAGGCTCTGTGCTCACCAAATATATAAGGATTTTTAGAGTTGTTTTTGCTTCACATACATGATTCCAGTAACCACAGCAAATAACACAGCATCCCAAATTCAAAGGTGGGAGCAATAAACATCTCTTGATGGGAGAGGAAAAACTGACCATTAATTTTTGAAATTCATGACAGTCTTGGTAAAGAACCAGTAAAAACAGGATGAGATTTTGAAATTTATTGTTTAATTGAACTACATAGAAGAAAGTATATAATGATAAAATGAAGGGTAAATGTTTACTAGAAGTATGAAATTTGTGATAACTTTATCCTTCTAATTATTGAGACCAAAAGCCTTGGAATTGTTGGTTCTGTCTTCAGAGTATATCCAGAACTCAGCTTTTTCTCATTGCTTACACTGGGATCCCTGAGACTTCATCATCCTCAACTGGATTATTATAGTAGCCATAGAAATAGTCTCCCACTTTCCATATTTAATACATCATCCGCCTGCATTCCTATTGTGTTTCCCTTTCTTCCTTTTAGTATTTTTTTGAGTTCATGTATTTTGCAATAATTTGTAATATTTAACTATTAACATGTTGGTAAAATAATTTACTTTTATATTTTCCAGGTAATAATAAATCACAAAGGGAGGAGCTGGACTCCATCCTCTTTCTGTTTGAAGTAAGTTGCTATTATTTCATATAGCTGATGGCTGTTAGTAGGACAGGGTTCAGATCTGTTTTTCATTGGGTTGCTATGAGTCATACTCAATTCAGCAACACCTAACAACAGCAACAACAAAAAATGGCTATTAATGGTTATTTCCTTCTTATTTCTTCCTTCCCTTTTGTTTTTCTGGGTGTTTGGTGTTTTGTTTTTTTTTCTTCTAAACCTTTGAGTGTGTATTTTCTTGAATGGGGTACCTACATATGAAATCATTAAGTAGAAGAATATGTACACTTTAAATCCTAATTGAAACTCAAATGTATTGCCTTTAAGTTGGAAACAGTTCATAGCAGATCCTCCATTGGGTTTCTGAGGCTGTAAATGACATGAGAGGTGATTGCCTGTCTTTATACTATGAGTTACTGGTGGATTTAAACTGCCAGAGAGGCTTGGCCTTTGGGTTAGCAGAACAACCATGGGCTACACCACCAGAGCCAAGACATTACTAAATTATTCTCCATATGGGCCATGTAATTACATAGAAACTTATTTGTAGGTCTTATTTACATTTCATACATTCTCACCAACACTAGGAATATTTTATCTTTTTTAATATATGCAATACACATCCAGAAAGCCACAGTGTTTAAATTTACATTTTGCCACAACTAATGACTTTGCTATCCTTTTGTGTGTATGCATGTGTATATGTCTTAATCATATTTTCATCAAAGTCGGGATAGTGTTTAGGTATATATTTTGATCTTAAGCTTAAAGCTTTCTTATCTATATATATTGGACAAGTGACCAGACTGAGTTCTCTATTGAGAACTACATTCAGAACTGAGTTACAGGTTCTGAAAATTAACTGTTGGTTATATAAAAATGATTCATAATTTGAAGTGTTCGTGCTTAGGATAGTGTGAGACCATAACTCCGGCAAGGGCAGGAAGGCTCTCCAAGGTTGTTTGCCGAGAGGCTGTGGTGTGGTGAATTTCCTGATTTGGCTGTTTTAGCCATGGACTTTGTAACTCTCACCTAATATCTGGGTCCCCCAAATCCACCTCACCTGCTGTCAAACTGCTTCTGACTCTAGCAACCCTCCTTTGGTTTTCTGAAGCTATAAATTTTTGTAGAAAGAGACTGCCCATCATTATCCTAAGAAGCTTCTTGTGGATCCAAACCTTATGCTTTCAATTAGGAGCCCCCAAATGTTATGCAATATGCCTCCAATTCTCCTCAAATGACGAGGTAGAACTTTGCAAATTTTAGATACTTAAGAACCACCAAAGATAATCAGTGAATTGCTAATAATGTAAATAAAGTATATGAGACTCTTTTGTGTGGTTGGTTTTGCCATCCCCTAAGATTAAAATGAACTATCCCAGAGGTTGAAAAGTGGGAACTCCCTGCCATCAAGAAAGAAGAGCTGAGAGTAGAGTGTGTCTCGTGTACTTGAGATTCTTGAGCTGAAATTCTTTAACCCAGGAGAACAAGAGCTGTAACTGGAGCCACAGCAATCTGATAATGTCAGAGAAATGGCTGCACCAAAAGCAGTAAGACCTGGGCCAGTGCATGAGACAGAGTTTGGACTTTCTGGCCCACAGAGAGAGAAAGCTGAGTACTTCCTGTCAAGACTTGGTAGCAGAGTAGATGCTTTTGGACATTTGTTGGGGAATTAGGTTGTGAATCCACTGAGTTAGAGTTGAGTGCGTTTGAGCCTAGTCTTGAATTGCAGAAGGGTCGTTTTGGGACCCTGAAGTTGGTTGAGCTTGGGAAAATTTACCTGAACAGGGCAAAGGGCAAGATTGTAAGGCTGATCGTGCAGAGAGACCTGCTAAGAGAGGCTATTTCATTAACAAACTGTAGCTGAGAGTTTCAGATCCTGAATTGTACCCTTTTACTTCCCTGATAAACTGCTAATTGTAGGTATGTTCTTTGTGATCACTGCAATGAATTATCAATCCTAACAGAGACATAGAGTACCATGAGGGAGATTGTTGATATCAGAATTGGGTAAAAAGAAAAAAGTGTTGGGACAATGGAGGCTTGTGTGACCTGATTGGAATCAGTCTTGGGCTGATGTGGAGAGAGATTCTTGCTCCTTGTGGAGTTGTAGGAGGTCAGGCCATGCAGTCCCCATAGTCCAGCCTAGACTTTGTGGCTCTGGTTCCCCTTTCTTACTTTTGAGGTCCATGCTCTTTCCCTAGGGCAAAATACCTTTACTTGCATATATTGTGGAAGAGGTTATAATATTTCCTGTGGTTGCCTTCCTGTGAAGCTTGTACAGAGCCATAGTTGTTTTTCTTAGAAGAATCTTTAAAGAATTCTGCCACTAAAATATTATCTCCAGTTTGTTATTTGAACTATTCCACTAACTTAACACTTATTAATGAATCTCTAACATGTACATATATTATGAAACGTGATAATAAAATCCATCCTCTTGATACCCTGCATCTGATATTTTAAGAATTAGTTGTTCTTCTTTAATTCTTTTTCTTCTCTGAAATGAGCCACTCGTTTTAAAAAGCACAATTTATCATGTGTATTTGTTTTCTTTTCATCTCCAGAGTAATATATCATGTGATCATCCGATTCAAAATGCCCCATGCCAGTCCATCTCATCTCACCAGTGCCTAGTATGTCAATATTTATGTGTTTCATTTCTTCCTTAACAATAACTAATTTTCCTACATTCATGGTTCTCACATTTCATGTCCCAATCACTAGTGTCTGCTTACAACTATTCCTCTTCCTTTGTATTTCCATACTTAAAACTCAACCTCCTTTGCCGTTTCTGTTATCTAAATGTGTTCTGTTGTACATAGGGTTTTCAGAGGCCTGCTATTTCAGAAGTGGATGGCCAATCCTTCTTCCTAGTTCAGATTTGGAGAGTATCAGACAAACCAGCATTTTATAGAAAAAGTGAAAGGTGTATCCCTTATTGTGGAGTTAACCATTAGTATCATTGTTGTCCCTGCCTTTGCAACACGTGTCTTTACCTGCTCCACCATCCACCAGGATATCCATCCACTTTTACCCACTCCCTTCACATCTATCTCCCATTGACCAGTCCTTGATCTAGTAGCTTATATATGAAGCATCCTTGGCTTCTGTGATTCCAAACACGTCGGCTTCTGGTAGTTTCTTATGTTGGGACCAGTGTCTCCGAAGTTTAGTGGTAATGTTTCCCGAGTGAAGGCGATGTGTCCTGTAGAACTGGTATGTAGACAGGTTCCAGGCGGGTTTGGCCTCTTGCGAAACCTATACTTGGGCCAGGAGGCAGTCGTCAGAACAGAGCATGGGAACGCTGCATGGTTCAAAATTGGGAAGGGCGTACACCAGGGATGCATCCTATCTCCATACCTTTTCAACCTGTATGCAGAACAGATCCTCTGGGAGGCTGGGCTCTATGAAGAGAAATGTGGGGTCAAGATTGGTGGAAAATCTATCAATAATCTGCGTTATGCAGATGACACAGCCCTGCTTGCTGAAACTGAGGAGGACCTGAAACACCTGCTGCAGAGGGTCAAGGACTGTAG